GCCCGCCCGGCGGAGTTTTTCTTCACATCCACCGCCGGGGGAGATAATGATGGCTGCGCGCCATGGCAGAGGGGCGCAGGCAGAGGGTGAACGGTAATTGTCGGTCTCCAGAGACGCCCATTAACGACAGGCGAGCGCAGGGCTACGGGGCTGCCGAGAATATTGTAATTAAGTACCCTTCTGGTGACGAAACCTTTCTTTGCACAGCTGAACCCTCGAATCCGCGAGTGGTGTTGAGAGAATTCTTTCTCCGGTTGAATGGGGACCTGGAGACCCTAACATGTGAATGCTGCGTTTCGTGTATTGCAAGAAACGTTTTCTGCAAATTACGTTTTTTTTCTTGTTTCGTGTTGTAATTTCCTTTGGACGTCTTGCCGTAACAGTAATATGTACTTTTCTTCATAAATGATCAAATCTGATTGTGTTATATGCACGTTTTCACATTTACATCTACATTTTTGTGAGTACGGAGACAAATTGTATCTGGTGCTGTAAGATACCAAAGTTTTAGAAAAAAATATTTTGCATGTTTAATTTATAAAATTATTGCGAAGGCAGCAGTATTGAAAGGCGCACTCTATATTCTTGCAAATAAAATAATTTCAGTAAATATACATGTGTAGAAATCTTTTCATGTACACGGTATTGACAAATTCTATTTTCAACATTTTTTACCTCGCTTTTACTTTACTAGCTATCCCTGTGAAAAATCCCCCAACCTCCGTTTCTTTCATGTTTTAACCATTGATTTATTCAAATACCCATCCTTAAATGCAAGGAGTCAGCACAATTGTTGTGCGCTTCTTCACAAGAATACTGTGGAGTGGCGCATCGGACGCCATCGAAGACATCCTGTTGGAAAGCAAGTTGCAGCGTCGAGCAGTCGACCCTGGACGCAATGATTGGCTGTTTGCATGCAGATGACTCTTGATGGCGACGTGCTAAGTTAAAGCGGCGATCCTATTTTTATTGTAATCCGCCAATATAAAATTCATATACATGGAGATTGGCGATAAACCGGGTGAAAATAAGCAAATCACGTATTCTCTCTCAAGCTAAAATCTGTGAATAAATAGATTCAGTTCGATTATCTAGTGCTAATCTAATGCTAGACTAATATCTCTTTGTGAAATCACGTCGAATCATGGGAGAATAAAGTTCAAAAACGAGTGTCTAACAATATGGGTTGTTTTTAAATACGCATCAGATAGATGACAGTTCAATTGCTTTCATCACAACTTCCCTTTTAAAAATGTATTTTCCCAATTTATATGAAGTAGTCTTATTTAATGTAGCATTCCAGTCAAAGAATTTGTGCAACATTTCAATTTTTTCCCTTGAAGCTTGTGTTTTTAGCCACTGTTTTGTATGAAATCTAACTTATTTAAGGAAGTAACTGAAGATCTGGTGTCAGTTTATTGTCGCCGCGCAAGACGAATACGATTACAAAAAAACTTTTTTAATGCAAATATGGAAAATAAATGGCTTTTTTCTCGTTTTTCATACCAAAGTTCCATACTGTTAACTATCCAGATTTACTGTGCAGTTTGAGAGGAAGGGAACTGCAAGTGATAAAATGACTTTCGTTACAGAATATTGCATAATCTTGTGAAATGTCATGTGTTCAGGGATCGTTCTGCTCCAAAAGACCGAAAATATAACAGCGTTATCTGTGTCTTCACAAACGCCCCCTTGAAAATTCCCCCAAAAAAGAGGCCTCTGAACGTAATGGTGTTAAGCCGTCGCACGTCGCGTCCCACCGCTTCAGCGATCTTCTCCCTCCTCCCCCTCCCCCTCCCATTCCATTCCCCTTCTCCTCCCACGCAACGAAAGGGGAAACCAGCCCGTAAACGAATTACTTGGGCCTCGCGTGCTCATCAGCGCTTGCATGATGAACCCGTATCATGGCGGGCGGTGATGAAGGTGTACTCCGGAAAGTATGTTCTTGGAATTCCTGCCAACACACCGTAGAAACTACTCGTAGAAACGCATTCTAGTAGCAGCCGGAGCCGAGATTGCCTCAAAAGTATTGTTACGCTAAATTTTTTGAAACTTAGGGAATAGATGTTTTTTCTTACTATAATATTTTTAGTCACCTGTTTTATAAATACTGTTATTTTTCAAGCTATTTATCTGATAGGTGGTCTTTCAGATATCAACAGTTTTTTTTATCAGCTGTCACTTTCATATAAACCTCTTAAAGAGAATTATCTTGCAAGGTCCACTACAGGGTAGGCAGTGATCGATTGTTTCCCAGTGTGTGAAACGTTTTTACCAACTCCCAAGAAAACCTGTCAATCAGCAGTTGATAAAGCGTTCGTCGTATTCGAGAAAGATGGGACCTAAATTCTTCGGGATTGGTGAAAATAATTTGTTTGTTATTACTTGGAAGTAAAATGTCCCGACAGCACAATTGGTAGGAATGCGATCTCATCTACCTTTAATATGGAGAACTTGTACATGCTTGTGGAGGTAATATGTAATGTTTCTGACACTAATGACCAGAACCACTCTAACACTTGCAGTGTATTTTTGTACCTCGACGTGAATTGGCCGCCACCTTTGAAGTCAAGAGGACATATTGCTCTTGGTCGACCTCCGGAAATTGGCGATCGGAGGTGAGGTCGCGAGCCGCAACTGCGCTGAGGGCGCAGACGACGGTGGAGCGAGCGCGCGCGCGCGGGCGTTGTAGTGCTTGCGTCGTAATTAGAGCGGGAGATGGTTAAATTGGGCCTGCAGCCAGGTAGCACAGGCGGCTGCGCAGATTGCTCGTTAGCACGGGCTGCGCATCGCGCGCCACCCGCCGGCGGGAGGAGGCGGGGACGAAACGGGACGGATCGAGACAGAGGGCGGGTCTCCCGTCAGGACAGGGGAGTCCGAGTTCGGTAAAGCGGGTCGAGACGAGACGAAGCGGAGCACAAAAAGACGCAGTGGTTTGCGGCAGCAGCGCGGTGGGTCCAGGAAAGGCTGGTGCAGGGCGGAATGCAGTAAAGTGGGACGGGCTGAAGCGGTTCGTTCCAGACATTGTTGGATCGGAGCGTGTCGATCCGGAGCTTGTGGGGCCGGAGCAGATGGGGCCAGAGGGCGTGGGGCTTGAGGGTGTCAGGTCGGAGGGTACCGGCTCGGAGCGTGATGGGCCGCAGCGTGTTGATCCGCAGCGTGTTGATCCGCAGCGTGTTGATCCGCAGCGTGTTGATCCGCAGCGTGTTGATCCGCAGCGTGTTGATCCGCAGCGTGTGATCGATTTACCGCAGCGTGTTGATCGCAGGCGTGTAGCGATGGTCCGAGGCAGGGTTGTCGAGCCTGGATCGCGCTGACGCATGTTGATCCGCAGCGTGTTGATCCGCAGCGTGTGCCGCAGGCGATCCGCAGCGTGTCGGAACCGGAGGCGTGTCGAGCCGGAGCGTGTCGAGCCGGAGCGTGTCGAGCCGGAGCGTGTCGAGCGAGGCGGTCGAGCGGAGCGGTGTCGAGCGGAGCGTGTCGAGCCGGAGCGTGGTCGAGCCCGGAGCGTGTCGAGCCGGAGCGGTCGAGCCGGAGCGTGTCGAGCTGGAGCGTGTCGAGGCCGGAGCGTGTCGAGCCGGAGCGTGTCGGGTCGAGCGTGTGAGTCGTGAGCGTGTCGAGCCGGAGCGTGTCGAGCCGGAAGCGTGTCGAGCCGGAGCCGTTGGCGACGTTCGGCCGGAGCGTGTCGAGCCGGAGCGTGGAGGTGCGAGCGCGGAGCGTGTCCGAGGCCGGAGCGTGTCGAGCCGGAGCGTGTCGAGCGGAGCGGTCTGTCGAGCGCGAGCGTGTCGAGGCCGGAGCGTGTCGAAGCACGGAGCGTGTCGAGCGGAGCGTGGGCTCGGAGCCGACGGAGCGTGTTCGAGCCGGAGCGTGTCGAGCCGGAGCGTGTCGAGCCGGAGCGTGTCGAAGCCGGGAGCGTGTCGAGCGGGGAGCGTGTCGAGCCGAGCGTGTCGAGCCGGTGCAGTGCTCGCGATCTGGACGCGAGTCGTCTGGAGCGAGTCCGATCTGGAGCGTGTCGATCTGACGTGCGAGCCGAGTGTCGGGAGCGTGTCGAGCCAGCGTGTGAGGCGTGCGAGCGAGTGTCGAGCCGGAGCGTGTGCGATTCCCGAGGGGAAGCGTTTCGAGCCGGGTGTTCGAGCCGGAGCGTGTGAGCTGAGCTGCGCGGACGTGTCGAGCCGAGCGGTGAGACCGTGTCGAGCCGGAGCGTGTTCGACGGAGCGTGCGGCGAGCGTTCGAGCGGAGCGTGTCGAGCCGGAGCGGTCGCGGACTTCGAGCCGGGCGTGTCGCAGCGGAGCCGGTGTCGAAGCCGGCGTGAACCGTCCGCAGCTGCGGCGAGCTGTCGAGCCGGAGCCGTGTCGAGCCGGAGCGTGTCGAGCCGGAGCTCTGATCCGAGGTGTCGCGGAAGCGTGTCGAGCCGGCGTGGTCGAGCGGGAGCGTGGTACGAGCCGGGAGCGTGTGACCGGAGTGCGGTGTCGAGCCGGAGCGTGTGAGGCCGGGCGTGTCGAGCCGGAAGCGTGGTCGAGCCGAGCGTGTCGGCCCGGAGCGTGTCGACTCGGGGCGGTGCAGTAGGCTCGTTGAACTGGCGGAGGAGGAGGAGGGAGAGGGTGCCGAGGTGGCGGGCGATCGAGGATGCCTGCCCACGCCGCCCCAGCCGCAAGGGAACAAGCTCCGTCCGCAGGCCTTGTTGGCCAATGTAAACAGGCCTGTGTAATGTGTGGTATTCTCAGTAAACACCGTGAACAGCGCTTCTCTGGATTCCGGGAGTTCCACCTCGGAGTGGCATCAAACTGTATACTAAAAATGTGAAGCAGCATTTTTTACTTACTTACATTTACCTTAATTATATTTTTGATCTTGCTTCCAACATACGCTGATATACATTTACTATGTAGGTTTTCTTCATGTTTCAATATTGTTTTACTTATTGTTTAAATTTGAAGAATGATTTTCATTAGCTATAGTAAATGAAGGAGCGAACACTGTATTCAACTACTAACTGGAATTTTCTCTTTTTTGTATCAATTTTCTGGTATGAAATAATTAAGGATCACTATTTTGAATACATTATCTTTTTATATTTACCCATGTTTCTGATTGACATTTAAATAAATGAAGACTTCCAAAACATATCCCTAAGATGCCTCATTGGCAGCGTTCTAGCTTCCCGTAGTGTGATTCCAGGTTCGATTCCCGGTCAAGAGTCGAGTTTGCAAAAGCTCGCTCTCAGTTCGCACGGGTAGTTTGCTCAGACGTGGGATTTCTGGGCACTACGTACACTGAGAATCTTAGTCAAACTAGTAATCAAAGGAGTTTTTGGCGTACGAATAAAATGTTAACTTTGTCGTGGGCGTACAGCAAAGCATCATAGTTGTTAACAGCTTAGTAAATAAAATCCAAAGGCAACGTGCCTAATAAAATAATTGTCATGACTTTTAATATTTGTACACATTTAGTCTTGTTATTTTTCCCTACATATTCTCTGCCGAAATGATTTCCCCTCGGCCGCATCCGCTGCCTGCCGGTGCGCGGAGGGAAATCCCTGCGTTGGGGCGGGGCGGGGCGCCCGTCGGTCGTTCGATCGGCGCCCAAATGGCGATGAAGCAACCCGAGCCCCGGCCGCCGCCGCCGACGAAGACGGATGGCCGGCGCAAACAGCGCGCCGCCGCGGAAGCGCTGCGCTTCCGCCCTGCCACCTCCACTTCCGGCCAGTCTGAAGCGCCTGCTAGGCCTCCCCGCCGAATGACCGGCGCTTCTGGCGGAGCGGGTTTTCTCCGCGGTATCGCTCAGATCTGCATCTAGTCTGATGTGAACTCAATACAATTCATTTAGGTTTCTAGAGAGTGATGTTGAAGCTGTTCTACCTTTTTAGTAAGAAAGATCCATGATTTCGGAATATTCTCCTTGTCACAAACCGGTGCCGCTTTACAACAAACAAGTGTAGATCGCTTTGCAACAACTTCTACTTGCAGTTCATGTTCTACGTGAAGTGTTTCACGTCCTGATCGTGATATTTGACGACTTAACATCTGTGACTGATAATACGATTAGATATTACTTTTCTAACGATTGTTATAGAAATTGAAATTCTTAGCAAAGTGGCTGGACAGTGTTTGTACAGCAATATCTGATCTAATTTGACCAACAGCAACGACATATTGGTATCGGGATTGGTGTCCTTAGAGTGACTAACACTAACAGTAATATCGTATTGACACTATTAGCAGAGAAATGATAAATATTCTGCTGTCAGTGTGCGAAACAAGCGACTTAGAGAAAAATATGTAGCCTGCTGCAGCAAAATGCTTCTGAACAAACAAAATGGATTTTTAAAAAGTCTGCACACTGCTTAAGTACAACGGATTAAATATCACATTTTCTAATTATTGGTATCACAGAAATTGAGCTTCTTAGCAAGCTCGCTGGACAGTGATTGATCAGCAATCTCTGATCTAATGTCCATTTAGAGAATTTTCTATTGCTTCTTTTTCAAGTTCTGCAACCTTCAACGAGAACATTAGCTTCGTATATGTTACATTCCACCAAGAATATCCCAAAAGCGATTTATTCCATCACTTGTGCTCAGAATAATCTTCTCCCCAGAAAATTGTCAACGGGACTGGAGAAAGTCGTCTCCGAGGTCTGTCTGCCGTGGGCGCGAGCTTTGTCGCCCTCTGCGACCGCATCTGGAGGCACCGCGCCGCCCGAAAGAATCTCTCGGAATACTAATTAGCGAGCGACACCAGCCACTCGGGGCGGAGGCTGCCTTCGACCCCGGCGCAGCCTCCGCCGCCGCACGCTCGCGGCTCGGGGACGTGCCTGCCACCGCGGCTGTCTCCTCCTCCTCCGCCGCCTCCTCCTCCTCCGCCGCATCCACCTCCGCCTCCGCCGCGCCCCTGAACCGACAGCCTCTCGCCGCCTTCTTCCACTAACTGGCCATCTCGGATGAGTGCAAGGCCTCCTACGGTGGCGTGGATTTCGCGCTTCCTTAATTGTTGTACACTTCAAGTCTGTTGACGTCATCTGTCTCGAAAATTCGATTCGCACGCGCTAGATTAATGTTTTTGTACCACAAATGAAATCTTAATTACAACGATAATTACTATTACCATCTATGCCGTCGTTGCCTCCGTCATCTCCTCCGCCATAACATGTGCCATTTATTCAACTTCAATTATTACTAATGCCACTAATAACATCTACTACAACCACCACCACTACCACCACCACCACCTGTTCCTCCTCGTCCTCTACCTCATCCTCCTCCACCACCATCATCGACGACAACAACAACAACAACAACAACATACCCACGATCAGTTCCGCCATTACAATTCTATCACTATTTTTAGAACAGTTTCCATCACAATTTCCACAACTCCTTCATCCATCACCTTCACCACACGCCTTCACCTTCTCCGCTTCACCCCCCCTCCTTCGGTTGCCGCCTCTCCCGTGCTCTGAGCGCTTTTCCACCTCCTTCGCCAACTTCCTCTTTGGGATCCCCGAAGGCGGCGTCGGAACTTGGCAATCCCGCCTCGCATGCCGACGAGATGGGAGATTAGGAGCTAATGCGGAAGTCTAATAGAAAAAAGAGAGCGGCCTGACCTGAAGGCGAAAAGGCGAATTAAATTTGGGGGTGACGGAGGAGGCGCTCAATCTTGGGTTGTCGCGACGCGCAGCCTCCATTTGAGCCATCGACGTGCGCGCAGCCCCCCCCCCCAGGGGGGGCGTTGCCCTTTTGAGTAGTTTGAAAGCTCAGTCTCTGAAACGTTTTATTGCCATACATGTACAATGAATAGGTTCTGTAAATTATTTTCAGCTCAGATGATGATCGCTTAGCCATTGAAATGTACTAAAGTTAATAATGATTAAAATACCTTGACAATGCCTGTCTCATTAGTTTCGTAAATACATTCAATAGCTGATTTTCCTCTTTTTAACCTAACAAACTTAGTGAAGCTATCTAAGGTATGAGGCTATCGAGTGAATGGTTCTCGGTGTATTTATTAATTGCATCATTAATGTTATAATTTCATTCTCTTTGTATGTTTTATTTATTTATTAGCTAAAATCAATTGTTATATATACCTAAATTATTTATACGATTATATTATTTATTCGTACATAGCAACCTAAAATATGTCATGTGTAAGTTATAAAGGTTAATGAAAGGGGTGTTCAGAAATATAATGGCCCTCATTCTTGTTTTAGACTCTACGTACCTATTAGTAACCAAGACCTCACGACTACTTATCGCACGCGCTGGTATTTTGTGCTTCAAATTAATACATATGTGACGTGTGCTTTGGTTTGTGTGGTA